ACAGTAGCCCATGGCAACCCACTGCCACAGGGGCTGCAGCCTACACCGTCGCTGGCAACTCACGGCAGCCCAGCTCCAGGTTGAGCTGTTGTTCAGCATCTTAGCTGCGGAGGGCAGTGTCACTGGCCCTTACATGTGGGATCTGAACCGGGGACCTCTGGCGTCCCAAGTCAGCTCTTAACCATCGCGCCACTCAGCCGGCCCCAATATAGTAGTAAGCTTTAAGTGGGCAAAAATACCATCATCCCAAATGACTCACCACTGGCACACAGAAAGCTAGGATAGTTAAGCTACTTCTCCAGGAAACCTTCCCTGACACCCCACTTCTGGGGTAGGTCTCTCATATGATTGCAGTGCTTCCCCATCAAAGCCTTTATTATATTGTAATTGAGTTATTTGTTTCTGTCTCCTACTGAACTGTCTCTTGACTAAAATAAATGTCAACTGTTGGAATATTTTGAATACTTTTTCCTCATCATGAATTATTCCTTTTTACAAACCAGAACATGGAAGAACTGGGAAGTAACCTACTAAGGCTCAGTAACCTAGAGGTCATACTACGCAGAGGCCATCACCAACAGGTCCCACTGGTTTACAAGGGGTTTTTTGAGGCTTCCAGAGAATACAGGGGAAATAGTCCAGAGGGTTCAGGATGGTCTGGTACGACTCTGGACCAGCTCCATTCGTAAGGTCTAGTCCCTACCCCAACTCTAGGATGATACCATAATGCAGACCTCTCTGACATAAGCTTGTAACTCTGCTTACCACACAACCAGGTCCCTAGGGTCTCCTAGCAGTGCCCCACCCCCACCCCCAAGTAATCATTGTCTTTAATGTAAAAATGCACCTCTTTGCAGTCACTTACCACCACCAGCAGCACTGCCTGAGCTGAGGAAGTCACGGTTCTCACTACCCAGAGCACCCCTTTCCAACAAAACATGGTGGATTACTATGCAGTTCTAGGAGTGCAGAGATCTGCTTCATGTGAGGAGATTAAAAAGGCTTATCATAAAGGGGCACTTAAATGGCACCCTGATAAAAATCCAGAAAATAAAGAAGAAGCTGAGAGAAAATTCAAAGAAGTAGCTGAGGCATATGAGATATTATCAAATGATGAAAAACGAGACATTTATGATAAATATGGCAAAGAAGGATTAAATGGTGGAGGCGGAAGTAATTTTGATGATTCTTTTGAGTATGGCTTCACCTTCTGTAAGCCAGATGATGTCTTTAGAGAAATTTTAGGTAAAAGGGACTCATTTTCATTTCGTTTCTTTGAAGACTCACTTGAGGACCTTTTAAATAGTCCAAGAAATTCCCATGGAAGCAGAAACAGAGGGGAAAGATCCTTTTTCTCTACTTCCAGTGAATATCCAGCTTTTGAGAAATTTTCTTCATATGATACAAGATATACACCGTACTGTTCACTGGGTCAGGAGGGCCTTAATTCTTTCTCTTCCCTGGCATTTGATGACAGTGGCATGGCCAACTATGTATCTTTTACAACTTCATGTAAAATTGTTAATGGCAGAAATCCCAACACAAACAGAATTATTGAGAATGATGAAGAAAGAGGAGCTGAAGACGATGGTGAGTTGAAATCCTTCCTGATAAATGGTATGGCAGATGAAGAGGACTGTGCAGAAGAATGCAGTTGGAGAAGACAGTCATTCAACAATTACTCACCAAAGTCCTACGGCCCCAAACATGTATCTCAATATACTTTTGTGGGCAATGATGAGCCAGTTATACCTTGGGTCACCAGCAATAGGGACCCCTCTATTTTCTCAGAAGGATTCAAAGAAGGTGGTAAGAGGAAAAAAAAGAAACATAAAGCGGTGCATAAGAAGTCAACCAAAAGGAATCATTAAATAGACCCTTCAGACACATTATGTTCATATAACATTTGAACATGACTCTGTGTTTTGGTTAATCACAGTTATGTGGATAATATTTGTTTATTACTACATACTAAGATTATGTTTTTAACACGTTTAGCAGGACTGTGGACATCTGGTCAGTGGTTGTTTGATTAGGTTATGACAAAAAGATGAGTTTGTGGTGATGGTGATGTTAAGAATTTGGAAAACGGCAAAGATTATTTTACTTTTGTTTCTGAGCTAAATGTTTACATATTATAGTTTTTTAGTAGAGTTTCTGACCTATTTCATTCCTTTTCTCTAATTAAAACTACTATACAAACTTCTGAAATATGTATAGCTTTAGGAGCTAAAAATGTATTAAGATATACAAGTTTAGACTATATAATTATTCATGAAATGACTTTTTTCCAATAGAGGCAGAGCATTTGACAAATAACTTAAAGACACGATAAATTAAAAACTAAAGTATAAAAAAGTATTTTAATTTAAAAATAGCCAGACTTATATTTGCACACCCATGTTCACAGCAGCACTTACAATAGCCAAAAGGTGGAACCAACCCAAATGTCAATCGATTAATGACTACATAAAATATTTATACATACAGGTACATACCCACGTTTGTTGAATGAATTAGCCAGACTTACATTTGCACACCCATGTTCACAGCAGCACTTACAATAGCTAAGAGGTGGAACCAACCCAAATGTCAATCGATTAATGACTACATACAATATTTATACATACAGGTACATACCCACGTTTGTTGAATGAATTAACTGCACTCTTTTAAAAACTGTTCTGTACTTATCCCTCCGTCAGGCGCAACCGATCTCACAGATTCATTGCACAGCAATTGTCAAATATCTAACAGTTAAGTATCGTGACTCATCGCTTCCGTATCTTCGCCTTCTACTGTAACCTATCACCAATCGTGTTTGTGACTTAGTACAGTAAAGACGTATTTCATAGCAGCATTTTTGTGTGCAATGAATGCGTCAGATCAGTTGCGCCCAGAGGGTTATTCAATATTTCCCTTCCCCATCCCAGTCTGTGTTAGTTTCAATTCCCTATCAGTAAAATGAGGATATCTGCCCTAACTTATTGGACTTGTGAAAATCCAGGAAAAGCACTCATTCATTCAAAAAGTGTGTGTGTGTGTGTGTGTGTGTGTGTGTATGTAAAATAGGTGGTTAAATTTACTTAGTCTATTGAGGCAAAGTGAAGCACAATGAATATGTTTTTCAAAGATCTTGATGTGTATAATATAGTATCTAGTCCTAAATCTTGATTATACAGATTTTACACAAAGCCTTAACAAACCCCCAAAAAAGTCACAAGCAAAGGATGGCTCCAGCCCCAAATCACAGGCTGTGGCTTCTGTGATTAGGACTAACTGCATATCTATTCATCTATTCACCATGGAGAGGGACAGCTTTCTGCAGCTTAACTATTAAAACCAAAGAGTAAGATCTGCACAGTGGACAATGATTACTTTTTATTTTCTTTTTTTAGGGTAAGTACAGTAAGTCTTGATTTAATCACCAATCCATTTTCAACAATTTCAATTATACTAACAGAAGAAACATCTGCCAAAACACAGTTTTGATGTTAAATACCGTATGTTCTGATTCACACATTGGCCCCAAACACTGAAATGTGATCCAATGGCAGATCCACCTGCAAAGTAGATGATTCAGCTTTCACTGATCAAGCTATGTTTAAGAGATGAATTGCTTGGGATAGAATCCACCCTAAAAAAATGGGCCCCCTTATTCCTGGACTCCATCTTATCTTTATAAACACGGCTTTCAGACATAAAAAGCCCTGGAAGTATTTCCCAAACATTACCTCTTTTGAGAGGACCTGCTCAAAGGATTTGTGCTACTAAATATGTTTCTTGTGCATTCTGGACCCAGTTCTCAAGTCAACTCTGAAAACACGAAAATAGAGTTTTAGGTTAACCTAACAGAAACAAAAGCTACTTCAAGTGAGACACTTTGTCACCTTAAGCAAGTGTGATAAGTGACACAACTTCTGTGAGTCCCAGTAAGTTTGAAGACAGCCCCTCTGGGGGGTGGCACACTCTCTCTGCAGTCATTTCAGCTTCCCAGAATACCTCGTGGTAGAGAGAACCCATGGCCCACCCTTCCCCAGGAGCAGCAGGGAAAGAAGAAATCCGAGGAGCGCACAGAGCATTTGGGAGTGGAGGCCCCGGCGGAAGGGTCCGCCGAACCAGCGACCGCCTGAGACCCACTTGGATCCCTCTGGGGCGCCTCAGGCTTCTGAGAGAGCAAGCCCGTAGGGGACACAGTGGGAGGTGAGTCTAACCTGAGAGGCTGCGGGAGCTTGCTACGGCGGGAACCAGCTTAGTTGCTGAGAGTAACCACAGCATGACGGTCTCGAGCACGCGTCAGGAAGAGAAGGAGGAAACCGGCCGGAGTAGCCGCGGCCCACGGAGTGGCACGCCAGGATACCGGGCCAAGCGCCCCTCCCCTTCCGGTGGCGCTAGTCTCCGGGCTTTCCTCCTACGGAGGCGCAAAATGCTGACGTCACGCAAGAGCTGTGACCACCGCTCAGCCGGTTGGCCCTTTTGGCGTCATGACGTCATATTCTACTTAGTGCTCGCGCTCACGGAGTATCCGATTCTAAATGACACCCTTCAGGGCCTGATATCCCCCGCCTCCTCTAAGGCACCGTGTAACCGGTTGATCCAACCAGAGAATTGATTCAGAATTAAGACTATAAGCGTGCGTACAGAGGCAGGCAACGGCACGAACAGCCACGCTTCTAGAAGGTTCTTGCCAGTGCGCAGGAGCAGAGGTGAAAGGAGTAGGCATGAACAGGCGAAGGACCCGGGGTCACGAGACTGTTGGTGGGCGGAGCCAGCGGCTAGGGAGGTTCTAGTCGGTTCTGCCTCGCGGTAGCCGCCCCCTTCCACACGGTCACGCCGAGCTAGTACCCAGGCCTGGAATCGGGCCGCAGCCTTAGCCGCGCCCGCCGCCTCCCGCCGCTTCGCGACCATGGACCCCCGCAAAGTGAGCGAGCTTCGGGCGTTCGTGAAAATGTGTAAGCAGGATCCGAGCGTTCTGCACACCGAGGAAATGCGCTTCCTGAGGGAGTGGGTAAAGAGGTGAGACCCAGGCCGGAAGACCGTTGTGGGTGGGAAGAGGGACACCCTGATGGGGAGCTGGGCGGGAGATGGCGCGGGGCAGATGGGTGGGCAGCTTCGCGACGAGGGCCAGCGGAGTCGTCGCCTCTTTGTGGCTTGTTTTCTGGCCAGGAAAGGAGGGCGACTTCCAGGGGCTAATGGAGGATCGGGTAGCTTAGTATAGAGGCGGGGAAGGATAAGGCAGAGCTGAGTCCCTGCACCCTGAGGTCGCCAGGGGTGTGTCTTGGGCGAAATATAAATGCGGATGATTGCGGGGACTTGGCCGCTTGGCGCGGGAGGGGGGAGGGGTGAGTGCTGCAAAACTTGGCTTTCGCTGGGAGTTGTTTTTCTTGAAATCTCTAGTGTCCTGCTTAGGTTGCAGTGACACACGGCAGCTCTTTTACGCCCTATCTTTAAATAGTGTTGTAATAACAACTTATTTAATAAGTTATAAAAATGGTAGCTGTATTTAATTACCTTTAAACTTACAGCGATTCTAACTGCGTAGAATTATTTTGGGGATCACTTATCCCTCCGTAGTAGCAGTGCCATCAGTCCAAACACTAAGAAAAATGATTTTTCAAGGACAGGCGTGTTTCCATGATCTTCTTACCTTTAACTCGAGTACTTCGCCACGTGCACGGAATTAATTAAATAGGGATCATGCCAGATGGTAGGAAACAGTATTAAATACAGTTTATTTAGGGATGCAAGTGAATAAATACAGAAATTAGTTTTGATATTTACATTTAATAGAGCTTAATATTTCACACATTGAAGGGGAATTTAAGGGAGAAAGGAAATCTTCCCCGAAATGATTTTTTAAAAATCACTACTGGTGGAGAATTTTTAAAAAATGACATACAAATTGCAGCTCGTGGTAATTAATAGGGACAGTGCAGAGCAGGGTAAAGCACGAGGTAACACCCTAAACATTGATGTTTGTTTTAGTATTTTTATAGGGAAACATGATCCCATGATTACCAAATATTTGAAAGAATATTTTTTCCAATAAGCTTGTTCTCAAGGAGAAACTTAAGTTAAAAATCTATCAACATTGTCTGTGATGGTATAATTTTTTTCTCATAATAAATTTGTCAGTCCTAATCTTTCCCACCAGTTTCCTATCTGGGACACCCCAGGTTTTTCATACATGTGCCTAAGTAACTATTGCACAAAGTAGATTGAATGTTACCAACTTAAGAGAATTATGACTGGTCTTGTGTGATCCCACATGAGGAAGGTCTCTGCACCAGCTCTACTTGATAACATAAAAGCCTGTATTGACAAAGTCCAATTTGCAATTTTTGGCAGGGAACTAGCTCGTTTTAAACCTTGGAGGCTTTAAATGAAATTTGGGTAGCTATAAATTGTCATTACTTTCTGTAGTTAACTAGAATTTGGAATGTTAGAAACTAAATCCAGCTTAAAACTAAACCTTCCTGTGTGGTCCAAATTTTAAATTTTTCTATTTTCTTGGAAACAATTTCTAGCTTGCAGAAAAATTGCACGTGCAATGCAAAGAACTTTTTTCCTGATCTAGAATATTTCCAACAGTGTGCCCCCAACACCATTGAGTATGTATTTCCTGCAAACAAGGACAGTCCTCAGTACAACCATCAAACTCAGGAAATGAATTACTGATGCATTAATCTAATTTAATCCTCCTAATTACATGTTTCATTTTATTGTCATGTCTCTTAATCACCTTCATTCTGAAACATTTTTTCAGTTTTTCCCTGATTTTATGACCTTGGCAGTTTAAGAGTATTAATGGCCAGTTATTTTTTAGAATTGCCCTCAATTTGGGTTTGTCTGATCTTTCCCTAGGATTAGATTTAGCTTAATACATTTCTTGGCAGGACTGTCACTTCCTGAAGCTTTACCATTAAAGTTAGATTGTTATAACTGTGTTTGCATGTCACCCTACATGCATTCTTGGATGCTGCATTTTGAAAATTAGAAAAAACACAGCTTAAGAAGCCTGGTGTCTTCATTAAAATTTCACTGCAAAGAACTAGTATTTGATACTGTGTTCTTTTTGAAAAGTAGTGTTTTTGTAGAATAGAATTTTAAAGAATTCTGTCATGTTTATAGGCCTGTTCCTTATCGTTAAATCATCTTGCTTTGCTGAGTGCAAGCTAAGATGTTTTGGATTGTATAATGATTGGTTGATTTACTTACTGGCATATGGGAGCCATTTTTCCTTATTAAGGGTACTAAGTAACTGAAGGGTTTTTTTGTAACTATAACATTAAAAAGAATGGGAAAAGTGCACATTTATAAGAAATTCTAAATTTTGTTCTTTAATTACATTTGTTAATTTGCATTTATACTTTTGTTTCATGTTGTCCTCGTCAAAAGATAACATTGAGAAGGCAAGCCACAGGGTGGAAGGAGATACTTGCAACATGTGAAACTGACAGGGCTCATATGCAGAATATACAAAGAACACTTACAAATGAAAATGATAGACAAACTAATAGAAAGCTGGACAAGAGATGAACTTTACAAAGAAGGCTGTTCAAATGGCCAATAAATACATGAAAAGGGACTCAACTGTAGTGAGGTACCACGACACACCTATCAAAATAGTTAATAATTTAAAAGATGGGTAGTAGCCAAGTGTTAGCCAATGTGTGGAACAAATGGAATTCGCATACACTGCTAATAGAAGTGTATATTGGTAAAAGAGGAACCTAAGAAAACCAATATACATTTAAATCCAATATATGCATACCCAATGTCTAGAACTTCTAACTGCAATGAATGTAAGGTGGATATGATAACTAGTTATACAGAATCGACACTTAAGGGTGTTTGAAGTAGGTTCTTTTCTGTTTTCCAAGTTAATATAGCTCCTTGCTCTACATAAAAATTGTGACACTTTTTTTTTTTTTTAAGGTAAATTTTAGTTACGTCTTTGTGACCTTCACTATTGTGGAGTGCCCTTAATTCACTGAATATTTTAGTCATGGCCCTGTTGCATGTAATCCATACGCTTCCGAGTCTGCCCCAAATAGAGCATATAGTACTAATTTTTCATAGTTTTTTTCCCCTTGTTTTAAAGTTATTTGTGTAGTAAGTCCTCAGTTAACATCAATAGCTTCTGCGACTTTAAGCGAATAAGTAATGAAACCCAGTTTACCATAGGTTAATTGATAAAAACAAGAGTTATGTTCCTGCGAAATCTCAGCATCGTTATAATGAAACATTATGAGGACGTGCTGTGTATGTAATGTATGGTGTTACCTGGAATATTTTTGGGGGAAACGGCTTGCCAAGGCCAAGAGGAAGTACTGATGGATGAAGTTTAGAGGGGATAAGGAGAAAATAATGTGAGGGGCATGTGAATATAAGTAAGAAGAATCCTTGTAGATCCCAATCAGGAAACAAACATTTTGAATTATTATACAGTGACTTCATAATTATTTTCTAAACTGCCTCCTTTTAATTGATCTATTCTTACTAAATGTTAAATTTCATGTTTGGATTTTAATATAGCTACTGAATTCTAAATTAACTTGTTCAAATTGTGTCATTGCATGTTTCTCTGCCTCTTTTCCTTTTCCTCTGGGAATGGGCACAGGGAAGCTCTATAATTGTGTTTATTAGGCTTATTGAAGCAAGGAATGGGTTAGATTTTCATTAACCCGTATGCTCAAAAATAAATAAAATTTTAAGCTGAAAAAAACATAATACTGAAGCATTCAAATTAATTGAGTTTACTCTTAAAGGTTTGAAAAGGTAATCACCTAAATAATGTCTAATTTTCCAGCACAAATGTTGCTTGGCTTAGTGAATTTTACTCTTCTAAACAAATATCTTTTTTTCTCATCTTCCTCAAGCATGGGGGGTAAAATACCACCTGCTACTCATAAAACTAAATCAGAAGAAAATATCAAGGTAAGTTATGAATTTTACTTGTATATTTAGTGATAAAGTACTGCAAGCTTTCTTAGGAATGTTTTTCAATGGCTGCTCTCAAATTATCACTCCTGATTTCCCGAAGATCACTTGAAAATAAGATCTTTGTAAGATTTCTATTTGGACATCAAATCCCTGGGATCTAATTTAAAACTGAGAATTTGGAGTTGAACATTAACTATGTTTTAGAATAAATGAGATTAAATGCTATATGTATGTTATGTGTATGACTTGTACGTAGTAAACTCTTATGATTGTGAGTGTTTGTAGTCTCTAGTCTTCATCATTGTACGAGGTTGGACAATTAAGTTTGCGAACTCCTAGAAAAAGTGCTACATACTTCCTTGCTGAATATCACTAAGGTCACCTTCCAAGTACTCCCCCCTTAGGAAGCTGTGCACCGATGTCAGCGCCCAGTCCACCCTTCAAAGCAATTTTGGAACTCTTTTTATGGAATGGCCACCAGAGCTGTCGTCATATTACCCTTGACGTCCTGAATGTCATCCAAATGTCTTTCTTTCACTATTTCCTTTATCTTCGGGTAAAGAAAGAAGTCGCTGGGGGCCAGATCAGGTGGGTAGGGAGGGTGTTCCAGTACAGCTATTTGTTTACTGGCTAAAAACTCCCTCACAGAAAGTGCTGTGTG